GGGCGCTCCCACACCCCAAACGCCCAGCAAGCAAGCAAGCAAGAGAGAGAGAGAGAGAGAGAGAGAGAGAGAGAGAGAGAGAGCGAGAGAGCGAGAGAATGTGCCTTGGGCATCGAATGCAGTGTTATTTGCAGGCCTTGCGATGCTGTTCAGAAGGAATTCGGCTCGAGCAGCGTGGAGACCGAAGACCGGTCCGGGCTTGCTTGCGCCATGCGTGAAGCTCATACTCATATCATTCATATCCAGTCATGTCGAGATTTTGCACATCTACACTTCCGGTCGCATTGAAAGGGTTGGGGATCATGCAGTGGGCTTCGCACCATGTCCTTCTCCAGCGACGGCGGCCTGCAAGCCGTGGCTCGTCAAATGTTGAGCATGTTCACAGGTCACAACGACAACGAGAGGGTGTGATTCATGATGATTCATGTAAATCGCTGCATATCCAACTGCCATGTTGGCTCAAGCCATCGGTCTGCCAGTGCCGCTGCGAGGCTTGGAGTCTCGCCCAGACGAGTTCCCAAAATCGGGCTTCGCTTTCCGTGCCCGCGGTTCCGACCACCGCGACCCTAAGGCCGCCTAAGGCTTTAAGACTCTTCATATTCCCCTTCGGCCCCTCGGGCCGCCGCAGCACTCTCGCGCAAGCCATGCTGTGCTAGTCTGTCAGACAGGGACGGCACCGCCATCCTCAATCACTTTGGTCGAAGTTCTTGGCTCCCTCTCTGAGTCTCTTCCGAGCAACGCCCGGGCGGCGCCATCTGTGTCGAAGACGCACGAGCAGAACATGTGACGTGGGGCAGATGCCGTGACTGATTGTTTTCAATCATACGGGCCAGGGCGACGTGTCCTTGAATAGACTCGATTCGGGTCGATGTGGGCCGAAATTCAACATGGCCGCTTCGTCGAAAGCATTGGTGGCGACTCTTGCCGAAAATACGATAAAGTCTTCAAGTTCAAAGAGCAGCATCGCAAATGCACAGGACCTCTATATCGATGGCAAAGTAGAGTTCCTTTCCTCAATAAATAACGATATCCAAGCACGGTGCGAGAGGCTGAGAGTAACGTGCTCCCCTCCGTTCTCTCCGAGATGATACTGTTGTATTTTTGGCATCCCTTCAACACGCGGAGACTGGGCCGGAGTCGACTTGGCCCGATCACCGCGCAGCCTTCGCCCGGCCGTTTCTCTTCTTACACCTGCAGGCGCTAAGCTGTGCTAGCACCTCTATGATCCTCCTCCTGGAACTGGTCTCCCACAGAACATCGGAGCTCGGACCCTTTGGGTTGCGCTTTTGGCACCCCGCGCCTCTGCAAGGTTGACGGACTGTACAGAAGAATTCAGAGTCATCTTCTTAGTTGCTTAGTTCTGGTTGGAACACAAGAATAAGGGCTGCTGCACTTGCAACTTCGTTGTTCGGAGCGCCCTAGCTAGGATTCGTGCTTTCTGGCTCCGCGGGTTTTCGACTGAACAAGTGGCGCTTTCGAGCAGCAATGAAGGGAAGTGGCCTGTTTCTACAAAGTGTTGACACAGTCCGACACTTCGTCGAAAAAACAATTCCAGAGACTCCGCCAGCTGCGGCTCGCCAGCCTCCGCGGCAGCGTCACTGAGGCCTTCGATGCCACCCGCTGCCTGCCAGAGCGAAGGCCCATCTTCGAGTCCTTGGGGCGACACTGGGCCCCGAGCCAAGCCCAAGGGTTTGGGTCTATGCAGGGTTTGTAGGGTTTATATCGGGTTTTGTGGTGGCCTTCAAGGTGCTGGAAGTTCATCCTTGGAGCTCTCACCGACTCGCAACTTGGCAGCCAAGCCTTCTTTCTCCCGGTCCCTCCCTGGCGCTGTCTCCGGAAATTGCAGGCGACGACCATCACGGCGATACTTCTCAGAGAGCTGATTGGGCCAGCGCTCACAAGAACAGCACCCGTAAATCACAGTCGGTCACAGTCCCAGGTACCGAGTCGCCTTCAATCCGACAGAGAACCCACGGGGCCTCTACGAGCGACTACAGAAGGTATATCAAGAGGAGGAGGTGGCTCATGCTCTCCTGCGACGAGGACCCTGCAGCACTGCAGGTGAGCCTTGCGCGCACCTGCAATTGCGGCTGCATGTCTGCGCAGGCGAAAACTTTGAGTATGCAAACATGGAGGTCTGGAACACCAGAATCGAAGCGTCACAGCAGCTCGCCAGATTCAGGGGAACGTGTGCACAGGCAGAGAGGCCTTGGTGAGCTGAGGAGTGTGGCCATGGTCGATGCTGGCGCGATAGGCCGGGGAGGGTCGGAGGCTCCGACGAGTCGGCGAAGCACGCGCCAGCGCGCCCTGCGGACTGCAGGCTATCACGGCTACAGTGGCCATTGATCGGCAATTGAATCTCGAAAGGTGTTGTGGAATCACGTGCAGTTCGATTTGAGGCTGGTGGGTCTCCGAAGGCTTC